TTTCCTTAAGGATTGGTAGTGAAACCCCTACTGCCTTTCAAAACAGCTAGGACACTGTAGCAAGCACTTGAGTAGAATTCCAGTGGAAAGGAGAATGGCCAGGGAATAGTGTGTGTGTGTACTGGGGTGGTGACAGTTCTAAAACTGTCACACCAGGGCCTGCCACAGTTTCTGGTACATAGGAGGTATTCGAAAATATTTTTTGGAAGTGCGAATTCAAACAGAGCAATGGGTTTCTGGTACATAGAAGGTATTCGAAAATATTTTTTGAAGTGTGAATTCAAACAGAGCAATGGGAGTATAATAACATTAGCGATTGGTACCTATTGAATTATCAGCAGGTGCCAGGAATGGTGAAAATGCTTTATTATTAACAACCCTGTGAAGTATTATTATCAATCCCATTTTACAGATGTTAAAACAGAGTCCCAGAGGTTTTACAGGACATGCCCAATGCCACAGAGCTCATAAATGGGCTAGGTTTCCAACCTTGGCTTGTCTGATTCCAGAGTTGGGCTCTTCACTGCTGGGCTACAACATAGAAAAGGTAGAGCAGAAACACAGTATATGAAACACGCAGCTGACAATACTTAAGGGGAAAGTGAAAAGGAGTAAAGAAAAAGCAACTTCATTCAAATAGTAATGGACATTTGGATTTTTTGGTAGAAAAAATTTTGAACTCCATCCTGTTGTATATAAAATAAATTGCAGATGGATTCAAAAGTGACATGCAAAATATAAACCTACATAAAAGCTCTTATATATGAATAGAAAGGTGGGAAGGAATTAAAGAAAAAAGTGGGTAAAAATTATGAGTGAATTTATTTTTTTCTTATTTTATTGTATTATTGTTTCATTCCAATAAGCATGTAATATTTTAAAAACTTGGAAATACACAATAAATCAATCTGCTTTCTATTTTTTTCCTTAAGGGAAAAAAAGATGGAAATAATGGAAAGTGGATAGAAGAAGAAAATGGAAAGAATGGACGGGGGATTGATTTATTGTGTATTTATTCCAATTATGTGTTTATTTACTGTGTATATATTCATTCCAATTTATTGTGTATTTATTATATATTTATTTATTCCAATTTGTTGTGTATTTATTCCAATAATTTAATTCCATCTCTTTGATTCCAATCCCCATCTCTTTCTCCTCTCCTCCTTCCTCTTTGCCCTCCTTTTTCCTGTCTCATTTAAGCTCATTTCCACTGGCCCACCCAGTCTACCACTCTGTCTGCTTCCTCTAGAAAGACTGGACTGACTGCTCTAGTGCCACAGCTCGCAAGTGTTTCCAACGTTGCAGAGCCTCTCAGCTTTGGCTTCTGAAAATTGCAGCAAAGTTTCTCTTCTTAACACAGCCACATGATGTTTTGTACGTTTTTAGATCCCTCTTGTGGACTTCTCAGAGACTCTTAAAATGTAGAAAGCCCCACTCTGCATTCTTGAGCGATGGCCCTCTTTAATTTTTATCAGATAGTTTCACCATTAATATTTACATCTCTGCTAAAAAAAAAAAAAAAAAAAAAAAAGCTGCAATTCTCCCAAAACACATGCTTGGCCTAGATTCACCCAAGCAGGGACAATTCTATCTAGAAGTTGCTGTCACAGAGTTGGACCCAAATGGGAACAATGGAAAAGCAGAGGGAAACTGTATATAGCTGGGTGGATGTGGGGCAGAGGCAAGTGAAATTTCTGTAGCAACATGGGGGAATATTGATGTATTCTATGTATGCTCTTGACTGCATATTCAACAAGAAATCATTAAACACCTTCAACGGGCCAAGCACAGGTGAATGTAACAGTGAACAAAATCCGGCACCTGCTCCAGCAGAGCTGAAGGTCTGGTAGAGAGCCTGTTAAGTCCACAGCCCATCATGACGCACCATGAGAAGTGCAATACTAGGGGAAGTACAGCACTTGGAAGTTGAGGGGAGGACCATGGTCAGGGAAGATGTGCGGAGGAAGTGGTGCTAAACTAGGGCATGGGCAGAAAGAATTAGCTCATGAAGGTAACACTCTGAGTTCAAGAAACTGGAAGAAGTTTGATGAGAACAGAAGAGTAAGTCCGCAATTGAATTAACCCAGTAAAGGAGTGTAGGTCCGAAGCCACTTCTATGTGGCATTTGCATGCATTTTGGAGGGAACCTATTTTCCTAAGAGTCTGTTGCAGCTGGAGAAAGAGAGACTGTTTCAAATGAGAGTGGAAATAGGATGAAGTCACGATGCGCTGCAATGTTTGATAACATTGGTTTTCCCCGTTATTTCCCTTCCCCTTGTTCTCTGCGATTGTATATGCTGTTAGATGCCTCTTTGCCTCTTTAATGGTAGATTTCTAAATATTTTGTCCCCTAGGTAGGAAATATGGTTGAGACCACAAAATCTTCATTTGTATCACACCCCATAGCTTTGCCTATTCTTGTGATTCAGATCCTTTGGAAGTTGGTGTCTCCAATCTACAACAGCTTTAGCTTCCCATCAACATTAATTCATCTTCTTCTTCTTGTCCTGTCCGTTGATGAGTATTCATTTTCTTTTTCCTGTCCTGTTGCCATTCCACCTTCCACAAAGGGGACCAGAGGTCTCCTGTGGGCTTGCTTGCAGAATCAAAAGAGAACTGAGAATCTGTTGGGTTCCCTTTCATTCTTGGGGAGCCTCTGTACAAGACTTCTCTTGGCAGACCCAGTCCTGGACTACAGAAGAGGCGTGGGTGCCAAATATTACTGTGTTTGACTTGACTAAGCTTCTATTGAGTTTCTTACTGACATTTTCAGGCACATATATTATTGATTTTAAGCAAGCAAGTTTTATGAAAGTTTGAGCATAAGGAATTGATAGAGTAGGCGCTAGAACTCTTTTTATGCACATTGAATATTTTTTGGGGACTGGAGTACATTTAAAATATTTTAAAAATGTTTATGGGTTCATCGTAGGTATAGGTATGTTTGGGATACATGAGATATTTTGATATAAGCATCCAATGCATGAAAATCACATGAGGGTAGATGAAGTATCCTTTACCTCAAGCATTTGTCGTTTCTTTGCGTTGCAAACATTCCAATTATACTCTTTTAGTTATTTTAAAACGTACAATAAATTATTGTTGTCTGTAGACATCCTGTTGTGCTATCAAATACTAGATTTCATTCATTCTATCTAACTATATTTCTGTACCCATTAACCATCCCTACTCCATCCCCAATCTCCCATGACTCTTCCCATCCTCTGGTAACCATCACTCTTCTCTCTCTCCATGAGTTCAATTGTTTTAATTTTTAGCTCCCACCAATGAGTGAGAATATGCAAAGTTTGTCTTTCTGTACCTGGCATATTTCAGTTAATATAATGTCCCTCAGTTCCATCTACGTTGTTGCAAATGACAAGATCTCATTCTTTTTTTAATGGCTGAATAGTACTCCATTGTGTATATGCACCACATTTTCTTTATCCGTTCATCTTGATAGACATTTAGGTTTCTCTGAAATCTTGGCTATTGTGAACAATGCTGCAATAAACATGGGAGTGCAGATATCTCTTCAATATACTGATTTCTTTTCTTTTGGGTATATATATATTTCTTTTGCTCTATTTTGGCTTCCATTGACTTGAATATCTGTTTCCATTCCTTTATTTTCAGTTTATATGTGTCTTTATAGGTGAAGTATGTTTCTTGTGGGCGACAGTTCATTGGGGCCTTTTTTCAACCCATTCAGCCACTCTGTGCATTTTGATTGGAGAATTAAGTTTATTTACATTCAATGTTATTATTAAGTAAGGACTTACTCCTGCCATTTTGTTATTTGTTTTCTGTTTGTTTTGTGGTCTTTCCTTCTTTTTTTTTACTGTCCTGTCTTCTTTTTTGTGAAGATAATTTTCTCTGGTGATTTGTTTTAATTTCTTGCTTTTTATTTTTTGTGTATCTGTTGTAGGTTTTTTGATTTGAGGTCACCATGAGGCTTGTAAATGACATCACGTTATCTATTATTTTAAACTGATGACAACTTAACACTGATTACAAAAAAAAAAGACAAACTAACAAGCAAAGAGAAAACTAACAAAAACTCTACACTTCAATTTTATCCCCTCCACTTTTTGTTGTTGCTATTTATCTTATTCTACTGTCTATGTCTCAAAGTTGTTGTGGTTATTATTTTTGATGGGTTCATCTTTTAGTCTTTCAACTCAAGAAATAAGTAGTTTACACATCACAATTAGAGTGTTATAATATTATATGTTTTTGTACTTACTATTAGCAGTAAGTTTTTTACCTTCAGATGATTTCGTATTGTTCATTAATGTCCTTTTCTTTCATATTGAAGAACTCCCTTTAATATTTTTTCTAGGACAGGTCTGGTGTTGATGAAATCCCTCAGCTTTTTTTTTGTCTGGGAAAGACTTTATTTCTCTTTCATGTTTGAAGGATGTTTTTGCTGAGTATAGTGTTCCAGAATAAAAGTTTTTTTTTTTCCCTCTAGCACTTTAAATACTTGATGCCACTCTCTCCTGGCCTGTAAGGTTCACACTGAAAAGTCTGCTGCCAGATGTATTGGAGCTCCACTGTATGTTGTTTGTTTCTTTGCTCTTACTGCATTTAGGATCCTTTTTAAAATCCTTGACCTTTGGGAATTTGATTATTAAATGCCTTAAGGTGGTCTTCTTTGGGTTAAATCTACTTGGTGTTCTGTAACTCTCTTGTACTTGAATAGTGATAACTTTCTCTAGGTTTGAAAAATTCTCTGTTATTATACCTTTGAATAAATTTTCTGCCTTGATCTCCCTCTCCCTCCTCTTTGAGGCCAATAACCCTTAGATTTGCCCTTTTGAGGCTGTTTTCTAGATCTTGTAGACAAACTTTATTCTTTTTCTTTTGTTTCCTCTGACTATTTTCAAATAGCCTGTCTTCAAGTTCACCAATTTTTTTCTTTCTTCTGCTTGATCAGTTCTGTTTTTGAGAATTTCTGAGGTATTCTTCAGTATGCCAACTGCATTTTTCAGCTCTATAATTTCTGCTTGATTTAAAAAAAAACTTCAATCTCTTTGTCAAAATTATCTGATGGGATTCTGAATTCCTTCTCTGTGTTATCATTAATTTCATTGAACTTCCTTAAAACACCTATTTTGAATTTTCTGTTTCAAAGGTCACATATCTCTGTCATGCTGGGATTGGTCACTTATGCCTTATTTAGTTCATTTGGTGAGGTCACATTTTCCTGGACAGTGTTAATGCTTATGGATATTCGTTGATGTCCTGGCATTGAAGACTCTGGTGTTTATTGCAGTCTTTGCAGTCTGGGCTTGTTTGTATCTGTCTTTCTTGGGAAGGCTTTAAAGTACACAAAGGGAATTGAGTATTGTGATCTATATCTTTTGTCACTGCAGTTGTATCTGCATTAGAGGGCACCCTAAGCCCAGTAACACCGTGACTCTTGTAGACTTGTAGAAGTACTGCCTTGGTCATCTTGGGTAAGATCTGAAAGAACTCCTTGGATTACCAGGAAGAGACTCCTGTTCTTTTTCTTTACTTTCCCCCCAAAACAAACAGGGTCTCTCTCTGCTGAGCTGTCTGGAGCTGGGAGAGGGGTGACACAAGCACTCCTGTGACCACCACCACTGGGGCTGTGCTGGGTCATACCTGAAGACAACATAGCATTGGGTCTCACTCAAGGTCTATGGTGAGTACTGCCTGGCTACTGCTGATGTTCACTCAAGGTCCAAGGCCTTTTCAGTCAGCAGGTGGTGAGTCCAGCCAGGCCTGTGTCCTTTGTTTCTGGGAGGTGAGCTCCTCTGCTGGCCCACAGCAGGTCCAGGAATGCTGTCCAGGAGCCAGGGCTTGGAGTTAGGAACCTGAGGAATCTACCTGGTGCTCTATTCCACTATGGCTGAGCTGGCACCCAAGCCATAAAATAAAGCCCTTTCCACTCTTCCCTCTTCTTTCCTTAAGCAGAAGGACTCCCCTTGGCCACCACTGCCCCAGGCCTGTGGTGAGTACTGCCTGGCTACCACCATTGTTCAATCAAGGCCCAAGGGTCCTTCAGTCAGCTTGGGGTGAATGCTGTCAGGCCTAGGTCTCTCCTTTCAGGACAGTGGGCTCCTCCCTGGCCTAGGAGCAGGTCCAGAAATGCCATCAAACACAAGGCCTGGAACTGGGGACTCCAAAAACTTGCTTGGTGTTCTACCACACTGTGGTCACACTGGTGCCCAAGTTGCAAGACCAAGTCCCCTTTATTCTGTCCTCTCCTTTGCTCAAGCAGAAGGAGTCTCTACCCATGGCCAGCACAGCTGGGAACGTGCTGAGTCACACCTGAAGCCAGCATGGCCCTGGATTGCACCCAAGTCCCGTGGCAACTACCTGGCTTGCCTGGCTACCGTTGCTGATTATTCGGGGGCCATGGACCCATTAGTCAGCAGGTGATGAATCCTGTTAGGATTGGGTCCTTCCCTTCAAGGCAGCAGGTTCCCTTCTGGCCCAGAGTGTGTCTAGAAATGTGGTCTAGGAGCTAGAGCCTAAAATAGGGGCCTCAGGACTCTGCCCAGTGCCCTATCCTACTGTGGCTGAAATGGTATTGAAGTTGTAAGACGAGGTCCTCTTTGTCTCCCAGCTGGTATCTCACTAGGTCACATGCGGCTCTGAGCCCAGCATAGCACCAGGACTTGCCCAGGAATTGCAGTCCTTGTGGCTTGGACTTCCTTTCAAGTCTAAGTAGGAACCCAGAGCCCTTTAGCCCACAGCAGTGGGGCTAGCTGGAACTGAAGTCCTGGCTGCGGTGATGGACAATGTGTCTCTGGTTAGGGTTGGTCTCAATCCTTCCTCTGGGGGCACTGGCTGAGTTCTGCCCTGTGTTGCTCTTCATGGTGACAGGACAGCACTGAGTTCCAATGCACAGCCCCACAATCACTGCACTCTGTCTCCCCCAAACACACAATATTCACACCACAGTGCAGCTGCTGGGCGATGGGAGAGAAGTGGTGTAAGCGATTTGAGAATGTCTTTTCTACCCTCTTCAGCGCTTCTTTCCTTAATATGATGTCAAAACCAGGTATTGTGATAGCGCCCGTGTTTTTGGTTTTTATGAAGATGCTTTCTTGTGCGGATAATCGTTCAATTTGGTGTTTCAGTGGGAGGTTGGAGGGTGGGGAATGGTCACTGGGGGCTTCTATTTGTCCGTATTGCTCCCTGGAGCACATTTTTACATGATGGTCATTACTGGAAAAAATGTAACATGGCAGCCCACCTCCAGTAGTACTATTTTTATATAAGTGAAAAAATAGAGCTGAACTTCAAAATTTGAAAATGGAGTGCCAGGAGATTATGTAGTCTCGAAGATAATTCTGTTGCTTGAAGAAGATAATTCTTGCCTGGCAAGAGAGAAAAAGGGAGCTTAGAATTCATGCAAAATGCTGCAAAGCTCTGGACACTTTTAAAAAGTCACCCATTTTATTAGCATCAACAAAAAGTCTTGAACCTGGCCACCCACGGCACTTTAAAAAAAATGTTGAGTTGGGTATATTTTTTTCTCCAGGACAAATATATTCATAATTTTATAAGAAAGTCAATGAAGAAGTTAGATTTTCTTTTCAGATCACTTTCCTGAAATATATCTACTTGCAAAGGCAACAAGATGCCTATTTTGGAGATGAATAAAAATCAGTTACTCCAAATTCAAAATGACTGAAATTGTCTAAAGTAGTGTCTTTTTCTTGTCATTTCTTCTCCAAGCTGTTCTGGAGACCCCGTGTTGGTGGCAGGGCAGACTTCAAAGAGACATCACATTGTGAACATCAAGGAAACATCTGGTTGTGTTTGGAGATCAACTACTAAAAATTCCTCCATATGTCAAGGACAGTCACCTGCTCTGGAAACTCATCAGACTTCTCCTCAATAACACACCAACTTGAAGTGTGCATTTGACAACTCCTGAAATTCTACTACTGGTGCAAGAAATAAGAACCAGAAGGAAACTGAGACCTTCATCTCTGGCATTTCTGGGTAGATAGGATACAGTTCTGAAAATCAGATACTTGGTCTTGGGTGTTGCTCTATGTTGCTCATAGCTCCCTTTTTAGAGTCCAAGTACAATTTGATGATGTTATTGTGAGCTAAAGAGCCTCATTGGGTTTTTGGCATCATCTTCAGCTACAATTCCACTGTCCAGTGGCTGCTAACTATTGGGGTACTATACATAGCAACTTAAACACACCATCACATTTGAATCCACCTTACCCCAAAGGATTAGGTGCTGGTGTTACTTTCACAATACAGATGAGAGAACTGAGGCACTAACAGATTAAAACAAATCCTCCATTTGCACTGTGAATTACTGCTGCAGTTGGAATTAGCACTAATTTGTTTGACTTTAGCGTGTGCGCTGTTTTTTAAAAACAAGAAGAGTAACTTTATAGTTTTTGTAAAAGTGATACATGTATACTACACAAAATTCAAGCCATCGGAGGACACAGAAGAATGGAAAATAATCTACCTTATTTCATGCTCTCCACAAAGCCATAATTAATATTTAGTGACTATCATTCAGGACATCTTTCTATATACACATGCAGACATAAGAATAGAGAGGTCAGGACAAAAATAGATGGGAATTATTTTACAAATTGCATACATACTCTTCATCTTATTATTAATAAAATAATTAAATTTTGTTTGGAGAGAATTAAATGGAAATGAAATTTGAAGAAACTGTTAAAGTTTAGATAATGACTTCTTTACCGTAACTTCTTCTCATTCTAAAGTTATTCCTTTAAAATTGAGGGAAAAATTATGAAATTATTTAGAGGCTAGCATCTGTTTTTTAGTAATTTGTTTCAAATTTTAGCCATCAATTGATTTTCTTTTCTATAAAATGTGAAGAAATTATGTGTTCACATTTCTCTTGTCTGTCATTCCCAATCCTGTGGTTTTAACTGTGTGTTTATATTTTCAAGGTTATGGCATTGGGACGTGGTTCTGTAACCAGAATTCTCACGGTTGTTTAGTCTCAGTTTTATATTTAAATGACTCAGTGCTTTCCCCAGGCTTGTCCTGTCTTGAGTTCTTTTGATTCATTCTTATTTCAGCACATTTCATTGTCAATATTTTCTTCAAGATGAGCTCAGGAGTGGTGTTATCCTCTGAGTCCTTGCCTGCTTGAGGTTTTGTGTGTGACTTTTTAAAACAGTATTTTATTGAAATGTAATTTTAGTACATAGAATGCACAAGTCCAATAACTTTTTTTGGTGGCGGGGGTGCGGAGCTTTTGTCAAACTGCTTTATTGAGATATAATTTACATAAAATAAACATATATTTAAAGTGTATCATGTGATAAATTTTGCTGTGTGTTTACACCAAAAGTCATAACTGCATGAAGATAGTGAATATATCCATCACCCTCAAAGGCTCCCTTGTACCCCTGGCAGTTCCTCTGTTTCATTTTCTCAGTTCCCCTCTTTCCTGGCAACTGCTAATTTATTTTCTGTCATTTTAGGTTATTTTAAATTTTCTAGAGTTTTATATAAATGGAATCAGAGGGTAAGTATTCCATTTTTTTCTGTCTTCTTTCACTCAGTATAATTATTTTGAGATTCACCCATACTGCAGTATGTCTTGATAGTTAATTCCTTTTTATTGCTGAGTAGTATTCCATTGTATGGATGTACCAGCATTTGTTTATCCATTTACCTGCTGGTGACATCTACATTGTTTGATTTTGGGTTATTACAAATAAAACTGCTACTAATATTTGTGTGGAAGCTTTGTATTGACGTGCCTCATTTGTTTTGGTTAAATACCAAGGTGTGCAATGGCTGAATCATTGGTGATTGATTTTTAGAGAAACTGACAAACTATTTTTCAAAGTTGTATCATTTTAAACTCCTAACAGCGGTGTATGAAAGTTTCAGTTTCTCTATATTTCCTTTTTTTTTTTTTGAGATGGGGTCTTGCTCTGTTGCCCAGGCTGGAGTGCAGTGGCGTGATCTTGGCTCACTGCAAGCTCCGCCTCCCAGGTTCATGCCATTCTCCTGCCTCAGCCTCCCAAGTAGCTGGAACCACAGACGCCTGCCACCATGCCTGGCTAATTTTTTTTTTTTTTGCATTTTTAGTAGAGACCGGGGTTTAATCGTGTTAACCAGGATATTCTCCATCTCCTGACCTCATGATCCGCCCACCTTGACCTCCCAAAGTGCTGGGATTACCGGCATGAGCCACTGCACCTGGCCCAGTTTCTCTACATTTCTTGCAAATCCTTGGTATTGTCAGGCTTTTTAACATTAGCTATTCTACTAGAAGTATAGTGGTATCTCATGGTTTTAATCTGCATTTCCCTAATGAGTAATGATATTGAGCATCTTTTCATGTGCTTATGTGCATCTATGGTATCTTTATTGGTGTCTGTTTAAATGTTGACATGGTTAGGCTTTGTGTTCCCACCCAAACCTCATCTTGAATTGTAATCCCCATGATCCCCATAATCCTTACTTGTCAAGGGAGAGACCAGGTGGAGGTAATTGCATCATGGAGGCAGTTTTCTCCATGCTGTTCTCTCGATAGTGAGTGAGTCTCACGAGATCTGATGGTTTTATATGGCTCCTCCCACTTCACTCAGCAGTTACCCTTCCTGCCGCCCTGTGAAGAGGTGCCCTCCACTATGATTGTAACTTTCCTGAAGCCTCCCAAACCATGCAGAACTGTGAGTAAATTTAACCTCTTTTCTTTATATATTACCTAGTCTCAGGCAGTTCTTCATAGCAGTGTGAGAATGGACTGATACACATGTTTTGCTTATTTTAAAAAGCATGTTGTTTTTTTCTTAGTTTTGGGATTTGAGAGTTTCTTACGTAATCTGGGCACAAGTCCTTGATTAGATATCTTTTTTGCAAATATTTTCTCCCAGTCTATAGCTTTTGTTTTTAGTTTTTTTTTAGGGGGAGGAAGGAGAGGAGAGGGGCTGTTTTAATGTCTTTTAACAGTGTCTTTTGAAAAGGCAACATCTTAAAATTTGACAAAGTATAATTAATTCGTTTTTTCTTTTATGGCTGATGCTTTTAGTATCATATCTAAAAAATCTTCGCCCAGCTCAAGGCTACAAATATTTTATCTTGTGTTTTCTACTGGAAATTGTATAGTTTAAGGTTTTACATTTAGGTCTTTGGTTCATTTTAAGTTGCTTTTTGTATATGGTGTGAGGTATGAATCAAAGTTTATTTTTCTTGCATCTGGCTAACCAGTTTTTCTGTAAATGTCAGTCAAGTCAAGTTGATTGATGGCACTATTCAAGTGTTCTACATGCCTGGTAATTTCTTGTCTACTTGTTATATTAATTATTGAAATAATCTCTGACTGTAATTGTGGATTTTCTATTTCTCCTGGCTGTTCTATGTTCTATCAGTTTTTGTTTTATATATATTTTGAGCTTTTTTTTTTTTTGAGATGCAGTCTCACTCTGTCACCCAGACGGGAGTACAGTGACACAATCTCAGCTCACTGCAACCTCCGCCTCCTGTGTTCAAGTGATTCTCCTGCCTCAGCCACCTGAGTAGTTGGGATTACAGGTACCCGCCACCATGCCCAGCTAATTTTTGTATTTTTAGTAGAGATGGGGTTTCACCATGTTGGCCAGGCTGGTCCCAAACTCTGGACCCCAAGCAATCCACCTCCCTTGGCCTCCCAAATTGCTGGGATTACAGATGTGAGCCAGCGTGCCCAGCCTTGAGTTTTGTTTTATGTGATGAAACTTTAGTATTGTTATGTCCTCTTGATGAATTGATCTCTTTATCTTTATGAGATAAACTTCTTCCTTCTTGGTAATATGCCTTGCTTTGAGATCTACATTATATGATATTAATATGGTAACTCCAGCTCTTTTTTGATGAGTATTAGCATGGTATATCTTTTTCCATTCTTGTACATTTATATTTAAAGTCTATTTTTTATAGGGAGCATATAATTTGTGTGCCAGACATTACGAATTTTATCTTATTGGGTGATGGATATTCCTCCTGGTCCTATGTGATCACCAAGTACTGTTCCCTCTAATCTTTTTGGATGATTCTTTATCTAGCCTTGGTTAGTCTCTTCATATAATGTGCTAAACAGTATTTTGCAGACTGCTTGAGGGGTAGCCTCTATTTTCCTGAATGTATGGTGTCTACCCCACCCCTGCTTTTAGGATTTTTCTCATTCTCTTTGGTTTTCAGCAGGATGATGCACTTAGATGTGATTTTAACTGTACTTTTCCTCCTTTGGGTTGGTTAAGCTTCTTGGATCTTTGAGTTTGTTTCCTACCAACTAAAAATATTTCATACTCTTCCAATATTTTTTTCTATCCCATTTCCCTGCTCCTCTTCTGAGACTCCAGATTGTGCTGGATCATTTGATCCTAACCCAGGGCTGTCTAACATTCTACTATAAAAATTCCTTTTCTCTCTTTGCTTCAGTTTGGATAATTTCTATTGACCACTCTTCAAATTCACTAGTTCTTTCTTTCACTATGTCCTGTCTACTGTTAAGTCCTTTCAATTAATTTTCCACTTCAGGTATTGTATTTTTTGGGTCTAGAATTTCCATTTCATTCTAGTTTTAGAGGTCACATTATTCTTTTGGATTTTTTTTCCGTATTTTCACCCATATTAATATTTTATTTCAGATTCTTTCACTTACTTTATAATAGTTATTTCAAAATCCATGTCCACTAATCAGCTGTGTCATCTCTTGGTCTGTATTTAGTCACAGGTTTTTCTGTTGATTTTTTTTTTATGTCACAATCTCCTACTTTTTAACATATTCTGCTATTTTTATCATATGCCAGAATTTGCATATAAGAACTAGATACTGAAGTTGATAATATTTTTTTTTCGCTCAGAAATGGCTCAAATTTTTCTCTTTCAGGCAGCTAGCATAAGGGTTACTTTCTTCAGTCTGGTCAGAAGTTGGACTGATTGGGGCTGGTTTACTGTTTTAGTTTGTTTTGGCCTGCATGTGGTTTTAATGTCTTGAAGGTGAGACCGGGCCTCTCCCTCCAGCAGATATTTGTGATTTAAGAACTGCAAGACTGCAAGATCTACTTCTGCTTTTCAGCCAAGCCCCCACCTTCCTCTACCATTTCTTGCTTGGAAAATGTCCAATGGGTGGGAGAATTGGTGTGGGGGAGAACTAGATCTGGCTTCTGGCTCCAACAGATTCTAATCCTCATGCCTGCCCACATACAGATTTTAAAGTTTTGGCAGGTTTCTCGTCCCATCAAAGTTCTCTTTTACCTCCCAGACTTCATTTCCAGTCACATTGTTTTACAAGTAGCTTTGAGCACTGTGACATTTTATCTTTCATTCCTTTGCTGCTAAACTTTTCTTTGAATCTTTATTGTTCTGTTTCTGATATTAAGAGATGTCTTATGCCCATCATTTCTTTGTGGTTATGGAGAACTCATCTTTTCCTTGGTTGATTACTCTTGTAATTAATCTTTTATTTTATTTTATTTTTTATTTTTTGAGATGGAGCCTTGCTCTGCACCCAGGCTGGAGTGCAGTGGTGCAATCTTGGCTCCCTGCGACCTCTACCCTCTAGGTTCAAGGTATTCTCCTG